ATAAAGTTCTGGGGAACGCTTCATTAGGTCCTGGGGATTTATCTACCTTAATGCATTTTAAGACTTCCAGCATCTCCTTTTCTGTAATGCAGACTCTCTTCAAGACATCACTACTTATTTCCCCAAGTTCCGGGGAGGCGATGGCCAAGTGCTATTATTGCGGTACTGTTAATCCAGAGACCCAGATAATGTCCTGGGGACCTGGGTTCAAATCATGCCATGGCAGATGGTGGAATTTGAATGCAATAAATATCTGGAATTAAGAATCTAATGATGACCATGAATCCATTGTTGATTGTCAGGAAAACCCATCTGGTTCACTAATGCCCTTTAGGGAAGGAAACTCCCATCCTTACCTGGTCTGGCCTACATGTGACTCCAGACCCACAGCAATGTGGTTGACTCTGAACTGCCCTCTGGGCAATTAGGGATGGACAATAAATGCTGCCTGGCCAGCGACGCCCTCATCCCATGAATGAATAAAAACAATTTAGGATCTCACCCATCTCATGTAGCTCCGCATGTAGGTGACCTTGTTGATCTTTAAGCAGCCCTATTCTCTGCCTAGTTACTCTTTTGCCCTTCATATACTTGTAGAATCTCTTTGGATTCTCCTTTACCTTATCTACCACAGCCATCTCATGTCCCGTTTTAGCCCTCCTGATTTCTGTCAAGTGTACTCTGACACCCTCTATCCTTCCTCAAGGATTTCATTTGACCCCAGCTGCCTAAAACTAGAGGGCATAGGTTTAAGAGGTGAGAGGGGAAAGACATAAAGGGGACCTAAGGGGCAACTTTTTTATGCAGAGGGTGGTGCGTGTATGGAATGAACTGCCAGAGGAAGTGGTGGAGGCTGATACAATTACAACATTTACAACATCTGTGTGGGTATATGAATAGGAAGAGTTTAAAAGGATATGGGCTCAATGCTGGCAAATGGGATTAGATTTACATAGAATATCTGGTCAGCATGGACGAGCTGGACCAAAGGGTCTGTTTCCGTGATGTATAACTGTATGACTCTATGACTCACCCGTTCTGTAATTTCCTGGTTCAGAAAATAGCAAGAGGTCGGAGAGGTATTGTAACTCTTGAAGAAGTTTCAGAAGATCTTGCTAAAATTGGATAAGGCATGAGTCACACCACAGATGGAATACTGTGAATAGTTTTGGTCTGCTTATTTAATGTATGTTGGCATTGGAGGCAGTATAGAGAAAGTCCATTAGGTTGATTGTGAGTATGGAGGAATATTCCAATGATAAGAGTTTGAGTAAGTTGGACCTGCACTCATTAGAGTTTAGAAGAACCTTACTTAAACATGTAAGATTCTCAGGGGAATTGACAGAGTATATGTGGAAAGGTTGTTTTCCTTTGTGGAAAAGCCTAGGTCCAGAGAGTATCATCTCAGAATAATGAGATAGTGAGATAGATTAGCAAAATGCCCACTTAAAAAATTTGAGGAGAATTTCTTCTCTCAGCAGATAATGAAGCTGTAGAATCCTCTACTACAGAGACTGGGTTGTTATTTAAGGCTGAGATAGACAGATTTTTGATCTGTAAGGAAACTTATGGCTATGGGAAAAGGCACAAAAGTGGAGATGAGGGTTATCAGATCAACAATGATCTGTTTGAACTGTGGAACTGACTTGAAAGGTTGAATGGCCTACTTCTGCTCCTACATCTGATTTTCTTTAGATCTCCCAGCATCAAAAGTACTTTTGATGCTTTCATGTGGGAAAGGAAACCTCCTGCTGATTACTACATACCATTCTCCTTTGGCTGATGACTAGGTACTTCTCCATATTGAACAATGCATGGAGGAAGCATTGAGGATGGCAAAGGCACCAAATGTACTCGAGGTGGGGGATTTCAATCTCCACTACCAAGAGTGGCTCGGCAACAGCACTACTGATCGAACTGGTCGGGTCCTAAAGGAGAAGCTGTGAGGCTGGGTCTGTGGCAGATGGCGGGGGAAACAACAAAAGGGAAAAACATACTTGACCACATCCTCACCAATCTGCCGGGTGTAACTGAATCTGTCCATGTCAGTATCGGTAAGAGAGATCACTGCATTGTCCTTTTCGAGAATACTTTTTAAAAAAACTGTTTATATTTATATTTATAGAGCCCTGGAGTTATACAGCATGGAAGCAGATCATTTAGTCCAACATATCCATGCCAACCAGATGTCTTAAACTGATCTAGACATGTTTGCCAGCATTTGGCCCATATCCCACTAAACCCTTCCTATTCATGTACCCATCCAGATATCTTTTAAATGTTGTAATTGTACCAGCCTCCACCACCTCCTCTGGCAGCTCATTCCATACATGCACCACCCTCTGCATGAAAAAGTTGCCCCACAGGTCCCTTTTAAGTCTTTCCCCTATCATCTTAAACCTATGCCCTCTAGTTTTGGACTCTGCTACCCTGGGAAAAAGATCTTAGTTATTCATCCTATCCATACCCTTCATGATTTTATAAACCTCTATAAGGTCACACCTCAGTCTCCAACACTTCAGGGAAAAAAAAACACCAGCCTATTCAACCTCTCCCTATCGCTCAAACACTCCAAACCCTGCAACATCCTTGTAAATCTTTTCTGCACTCTTTCATGTTTAACAACATCTTTCCTATAGCAGGGAGACCAGAATTAAATGCAGTATTCTAAAAGTGGTCTAACTATTGTCCGTACAACCATAACTTGACCTTCCAAGTCATTTACTAAATGCACTCACCAATAAAGGCAAGTGTACTAAACACCATCTTCACTACCCTGTCTACCTGTGACTTCAAGGAACTATGAACCTGCACCCAAGGTCAATTTGTTCGGCAATGCTCCCCAGCACCCTACCATTAAATGTATAAGTCCTGCATTGATTTGCCTTACCAAGATGCAGCACCTCACATTTATTTAAATTAAACTCCACCTGCCATCCCTCAGCCCACTGGCCCAGTGGATCAAGATCTCACTGCATTTCCAGATAACCTCCTTCGCTGTCCACTACACCATCAATTTTGATGTCATACTGCAATCTTACTAACCATACCTCCTATACTTAAATCCAAATCATTCATATAAATGACAAAAAGCAGTGGGTCCAGCATCAATCCTTGCGGCACACCACTGGCGACAAGCCTCCAATCCAAAGAACAACCCCCCACCACCACTGAGGAAGGGTCACTGGACGCGAAACATTGGCTCTGATTTTTTTTTTGCAGAGATGCTGCCAGACCTGCTGAGTTTTTCCAGCAACTTCTGTTTTTGTTCCTCCACCACTACCATCTATCTCCTACCTCAAGCCAATTTTGTATCCAAATTGCTAGCTCTCCCGATTCCATGTGATCTAATCTTGCCATCCAGCCTACTGTGAGGAATCTTGATCTCGCATCAGTGGTGGGGAAACTATTGTAGAAATTTCTGAAGGAGTGAATTAATATCCACTTGGAAAGGCATAATAGGTTAGGGATAATCAGCATGGCTTTGTCAGAGGGAGGTCATGCGTAATAAATCTGTTAGAATTTTTTGAAAATATGATCAAGCATGTGGATGAGGGAAGTTCAGTTGCTGTAGCTTATATGGATTTGACAAAGGCCCACATGGGATACTGATTGAGAAGATTAAAGCACATGGATTTGAGGGAAACTTGGCAAAATGAATCAGAAACTGGCTTAGTAATAGGACACAAAGGGTGGTGGTAGAAGGCTGTTTGAGTAACTGGAGGCCGGTGTCCAGCAGGGTACCACAATGATCAGGACTGGGACCCTTTTTGTTTGTTATATACATAAATGATATAGATGAAAGTGGTGGAGGATTATTAAGCAAATTTTCAGACAACAGCAAGATAGGTAGAGTGGTTAATATCGAAGACGATGGTTGTAGGTTACAGCAAGATTTAGTTGGGTTGGTCAGAGGGGCAGACCAGTGGCAGATCCTGATAAGTGTGAGGTGATGCACTTTGGAAGAAGAAACAAGACGAGGGAGTATTTAATGAATGGCAGGACACTGGGTAGCTTATGGGAACAGAAGGATCTTGGGATAATTATTCACAGATCCCTGAAGTCGGCAGAACACATGAATACGATAGTTAAGAAGGCATATGGGACAGTTGCTTTCATCAGTCATGACATAGATATAAAAGCAAGGAGTTATATAGAGTGTTGGTCAGTCTATAACTGGGGTACTGTGTGCAGTTCTAGTCACCTCACTACAGGAAGGATGTGATAGCACTTAGAAGGGTTACAGAGGAAGGTCACCAGGATGTTGCCAGGGATGAAGAAATTGAGCTATAAGGACTCGATTAGGCTTATTTGCTTTCTTTAGAGCAGAAAAGATGAAGGGGGGACATGATTGAGGTATATAAGATTATGAGGGGTATAGACAGCATGAATAAAGAGCAGCTGTTCCCCTTGGTTGAGGGGTCAATTACAAGAGGGCGTAGTTTTAGTGTAAAGGGCAGGAGATTCGGAGGGAATTTGGGAAAAAACCATTTTGAGTCAGAGGGTGGTGGGAATCTGGAATGCACTGCCTTGGAAGGTAGGGGAGGTTGGAAACCTTACAAACTTTAAAAAATATTTGGATAAGCACTTCAAATATCACAACATTCAAGGATATGGGACAAGTGCGGGAAATTGGGATTGGCACGCCTTTAGTGGTAGCTATGCTGGTGCAGACTCGTTGGGCTGAAGGGCCCTTTCCACTTTGTATGAATCTATGAATGTCCCACTAAGTAATCACTGAGCTTTGAGCACCCCTGTAATAATCCTTATCTTCTTTGAATCTCAATCTGATTAATTGTTGCTGATGGTTTGGGTTTCCATTGGCACCATCTTTAACATCGTTACAAAGCCTGTGACTCCACAAAAATCCCCTGATGGTTATGGGGTGGGGGGGACAGGGGTGGAAATTACCATTGAGTCAAACCCCAGAAATAGCTGTGATGATGTGACCAGTTTCCTGTATAAATGCTACCTCAGAGAAGGTGCGAGTGAGATTCAGACAGCGCACCCACAGACACTCTCCAGCTCAGCCACAATGAAGCTGCTCCTTGTCATCGTCGCTCTCGGCCTCACCATCAGCATCTGTGCCCAGCAACTCTCAGCAGGTCAGTCTTTCATTCTTCTATCACTCTTATTCACTCTGTAGTTCATTCTTTATGGGGCTTGGTGTGTTTTGGGAATGAGTGCAATTTGTGTTTAAAGGTTGTGAAGTCTGTAATAGCTGAATTCTCATTGCTTTCTCCACTTCTCTATTCCAGCTCCCACTATTCCAATGGGTACTCTGTGCTGTGAGCGTTATATCAAAAAAGAATTGCCAAAAGCACGTATTGTGAACCACATAACAGTTCCCAGCTCTCTCTACTGTTCCCGAGCTGCTGTCATGTGAGTATTGATCATTGCTCTCTGAAAGGCTCCTTCTATCTGAGAGTCACTTCACTGTGATTGCTGTTGGAGAAATCTACTTCTTCTACATTGTAGTCTGCCCTGGGATCTGGCGTGAGCTACCGTTGACATTTGTCCTTTCCCCTTCACAGATTCCAGACTATAGCTAACCGCCTGGTGTGTGCTAATCCAGAAGATCAGTGGGTGCATAATCTAGTGACGGAGCTCACAGGGCCGATGAAAAAAGATTCATCCTGATCCTCTTCAATAACCAGAGGGGTTTGGTGATGCTAGACAACATCAGATCCTGAACATTTACAAGCTTTTGTATCAACTGCAGCTTTCTTATTTCTGCAGCTGGTGTTCTGCAGCTTTATAAATTGAACATAAAGACGGTATAAAGATTATATAGAAATTATATTGTATGCATAAAGTATTTCTTCTTGGATAATTGATGAGTTAAGGTCTGTTGATTTGTGTGGTACTCTGTTGTTCTGCAATTAGGTTCCTGTCAGTTTTCTCTATGTATATTGGTTTTCCAAATTGTCTTCCAATAAAATTAATTCTCCTTTGAACCCAGCCTTGTCAATGGTGATTTGTGAATTTTAACTTCTCCGGCCAGTCCTATCAATGGGGAGACAGGAAGCTAATGGCATGTGGGGCGTTCCTACAGTTCATGGTTTTGAGCCTGTTGCCACTTGCATCACAACTAACCTCAGTGGTGTGGAAATGATTGGAGGCAATGCTGAGGGACAGAATTAATCTGCATTTGGTGTGGCAGGGGCTAATCAAGAACAGTCAGTATGGTTTTATTAAGGGGAGGTCTGACTAACTTGATTGAATTTTTCAAAGATATGACAAGGTGGGCAGATAAGGGCAGTGCTTTTGCTGTCGTCTACTTGGACTTCAGCAAGGCTTTTGATAAGGTCCCACATGGGAGACTGATAGTGAAGGTAAGAGCCCTTGGGATCCAAGAAAATCTGATAAATTCAATCCCCAATTGGCTGAGTGGCAGGAAGCACAGGGTGATGGTTGAGGGATGTTTTTCCAACTGGAAGCTTGTGTCCAACGGTCACATAGCAATCAGGGCCCTTTGTTGTCTTACAGCAACTGTACAAGGTGCTGGTGAGACCACATCCAGAGTAATGTGAGCAGTTTTGGTCTTATTTAAGTAAAGGTGTAATTTAATCAGAGGCAGTTCAGAGAAGGTTCATGAGAATGATCCCCAATATAGGGAGATTGTTTCCTGAGCAAAAGCTAAACAGGTTGGGACTCTACTCACTGGAATTTAGAAGAATGAGAGGTGGTCGCATTGAAGCATATGGGATTCTTAAAGGGCTTGACAGGGTAAATGCTGAGAGGATGTTTCAGCCATTCAACCATTGTGTCTGCACTGGCTCTCCGAATGAGAATTAAAAGAGAGTTATAACCTCATGTCTTTTCCCTGTAATCTTACACACTATTTCTATCCAAATAATCATCTAATGCTCTCTTGAATGTCTCAGCTGAAGCTGCCTCCTCCATATTTCTAAGCAATACATTGCACATCCTAAAAAAAAGATTTTTCCTCACCTCACCCTTGTTTTGTTTGTAGATCATTTTAAATCTGTGTTCTCTCATTCTCAATCCATTATCAAGCATCAACAGCTTCTCCAAACCTACTCCCTCCTGCCCCCACAGAGTTTTGGAAGCCGCTAACAGATCTCCTCTCAGCCTTCTTCTCTCTAGCCTATCCTCACAACTGGAATTTCTCATCCAGACTCATGAACATATTATGCACTCTCTCCATTGCATTCATATCTTTCTTACATGTGGCGCCCACAACGGTACACAATACTTCAGCTGAGGTCTAACAAGCATCACCTCCCAGCTCTTGTACTCCATGCCCCTATCATAAAGTCAAGAACAGCGTCTGCTTTATTAACTGATCTCGCCACCTGTCCTGCCACCTTCAATGATCTGTGCACGTATACACCTACGTGTCTTGGATCACAGAAAGCATCTTTTCAGATTTAGTTAAATGTAGTTAAGAGGAGGCTCTTAAACAACAGCAATTTGCTTAAATATGAACATTTATTGAGTAATAATAAAAGTTGAAAAAATAAATTAACATTTATTAAGTAAACATGCGCTGTCAAATATCATCAGGGGTGGATTTATAGGATGGGCTGAAGGGCTAAACAAGTAAATAAAAAGAATGAAAAAGAGAGGAAGAAAGCACTAAGGCTCAGGCCCTTCTGCCCATCGGGGGGTCCTCAATTGACGGCTGATCTGGAGGCTGAGTTTGTTCTTGGCACCATTCACGATCCCGGTCAGAGGTGAAGTCCAATGAATTGGAGCAGAACTCTCTCTTATACAGGGTAGCAAGTCACAGAAAAACAACTACAGAAAGGGCACGCACAGGAATGTTCACAGGACTCATTCAAGGTCATGCAACTGTCGAATACCATCAACAAGTTTAGCCCTTCAGCCCATCCTATACAATCCACCCCAATGATATTTGACAGCACACGTTACAATTGCAGATGCAGATGCAAATCAGCGACAGCTGCACAAGAACATATAATAAGAGTATGTAACCTTTACTAGAAGATTAAAAATACAAAAAAAAACTAAGGGCATCAGTACAAACAATACAGCAATGGGATGTATCATCAAATCTCAGTGGCCTTTAGGGACCAACCCTTAAATATATATTCCATCCCTGTTGGACAGCTAAGGCTGTGATGGAACCAGCAAGTCATGCCATCTGATTGAGGCAAACAGAATATCATCTACTTTTGTTTTTAGTTTATCTATTTATATAATTTGCTCTAAAATTCCTTATATTCCAGATTCAAGTTGCTTAATTTGCATTTATTTTAAATTCTCTAGTTCGCTATCTACAGATCATTTCACCCAATAACAATAAAATAACATCATACATGGGCTCAAAATTTCTCCGTCTGTATCCGGCTTGAGGATACTTCTTCAATATGCTTCCCTCCTTGCCAATTGTATGAATGATTGTATCATTGAGTGGTAACTACCTCCATATGCAAGAACTCCCTTTTGAGTTAATATATACATGAGATCGAACAATACAGGGCTAATGTTCATCAAGCTTTACCTTCAACGTAGGCTTCCTGCCTATTATTTTCCCCAGGGTTCCCCATACCATAGACTCCTATACCACTCGAGTCTTAACTCAGCCTGCTTTCACATACACTAGCTGTCCTAACACCTTACAATTTCACCTACTGATTTAGTCTTATAAATGCTCCAGATGGGGTATCTGTATATCATCTGATGGGCTTTTTCACTCAGTCCACCATTACTCCTCCCAGAATCCATATTCTTTCATTTCTGTAACATTTTGACACAATAACCAATCACACGTTTTATTTTGATTGTAATTCTTTTTACATCCCTTTCACTAACACTATTTTTTATTGTTTTAAAGTCAGTTTCTCTATGGATTTTGTGTCAGTGTCTTATTTTTTAAACTATGTTTTTGTGCTCTTCCAAGCCACTAATCCTTTTGTCAAGTAGGTGTATGTCTGAGACCCATTCTTCAGTGCATACTTTTTTGTACTGTCTCATGTTTGTTATCTCCAAGGTAACATTCACTTTTGCACACTTCAGTATCCCGAAACCATGCCATGCATTCTTGACTCCCACATGATCTTATCAAATCATCTATGAGGTTTTACTTATCTCTCCATGTCTGGTCCCAATATCTAGGGTAGTAGTTTGATCACCAAATCAGTTTTCTTAGAAGGAAAGGTAAAGACACAAACATTGCCAAGAGAAAGCTATCAGTTTTGTGCTCTCATCTAAACCTCCTTTTCACTACTGTAACGTTTTAACCTGAATTACTGTTTCAACCCATTATTCTAACTTTTTGTCTTCTGTCACCAGTCTCCACCCTTAATGTTTCTTATCCAATTTTGCAACTTAACTATTATCACCATATCTAATTCTAGAGATCTGCAGAGATTTGCAGTCCATGAAACATAATCTTCAAATATTTTAAAACAGAAGTCAACCATGTCTGAGGAAGGGTCATCAGACCCAAAACATTAACTCTGATTTTTTTTTCACAGATGCTGCCAGACCTGCTGAGCTTTTCCATGAACTTCTGTTTTGGTTCGGTTTTTATTTAGTCAAACATTTCTGTTTGATTCAGGCACAACATAATTTGTTTGTTCTTTTTCTAAGATGACCCAGTTTTTTTTTAAAGTTACGTGATAACTCATTCCAGATATTTGATATATCTTGATGCAAATTTGTTCAAGTTCAATATTCTGTTTGCTCCGTCTAAGTCACTAACCTTTATCATGCATTGAGACCATGCATGTACTTTATCATTTCCCAGAATGCGTTTAAATTTTCAGGCAACTGTCCCATTTAAATGTTTTAGACTACTGGGGCATGTGAGTCTTAGTACAGTTTTGTCGTGATGTGCTTAAGAGTACCCAGGCTCAGTGGTTTCTCACTCAGTGGACATTCACTAAAAATTAATATTTCCACAGTACATCCCCAACATTGAAATGTGTTATTGATGAATGGCTTGATGGGTTGAAGGTGCCTCATCTATCGTTGTGATGCAATGTTGAAATGCTGCAATTGGGTTCAGCCTTCAGTGCCTCCAATTTCTAAACAAACAAGTTCCATCCACTCCATGTCAGGCAGAATGGGTTAATTAGTATTAATCTACAAAGGATTCAAAAATGGGATGGGGTGTAAACTACTGCATGTAATTATTTCATCCGTCTCTCCTCCTCCTTGAAGACAGGAAAAGCCCACCCGTTTGTTAAATTTGCCTTTCCTAAAGTCCTTGCACACAGGGAGTTGCATTTCAACAATTTCCCTATCATAGAGTCATCAGAAGTCATAGAGTAATACAGCATGGAAACAGGCCCTTCAGCCCAAACATGGTGCCCTCTCAGTTAGTTTCAATTGCCCGCATTTGGTCCATATTCCTCTAAAGCCTTCCCATCCATGTACCTAACCAGATGTTTTTTAAATGTTGCTATTGCACCTGCCTCATCTACTTTTTCCAGTAGCCCATTTCGTACACGCACCGCTCTATGCATGAAGAAGTTGCCCCTCAGGTCCTTCTTAAATCTTTTCCCTCTCACCTTAAACCCATGCCCTCTAGTTATCAATTCCCCATTGCTGGGATAAAGACTATATGCATTCATCCTATCTATGCCCCTCATGATTTTATACACCTCAATAAGGTCACCCCTCAATCTCCTACGTTCCAAGGAATA